AATGCAGCTTTTATTTATTACTCCATTTCCCCCCCCAAGTCCTTAATAACAACACATTAAGGGTACAAAAAATTACCGCACGATGGAAAACTCATTGTGACAAAAATGAATTTAATTGAGCATAAACTCATCTGCTTCAAACTTATTTAATGAGACAACCTAAGATACCCAAGACAATTATTTAATGGGTTGAGTTAGCCCACATAATGCATGGGAACAGGAATAGATTCCCAGTCTTCTTGCCAAATCCAGACCTCTGGTTGACTTTTCTTTGATAGAAGATGGAATTATTCTCCAATTTCTCAAACTAAATTTATTTAACATGTACATTATTTTGCTTTTAAAATATACAAACATTTTAGGAGAATTATAACCAATCTTCAATTATAATGATTCTATCCCACTCCTTTTTTTTTATTTTGTTTTGGGATTTAAGGGAAACATATACAAGCTGGTCTTTGTAAAAATATACAGCTGGTCTTTTTCCTATGAAATATCAGTACCTTTCTCCATTCATTGTTCTCAGTGATGACCACAGAGCCCAAGTATACCAGGAAAACCAATATTTGCATTACAGGTTGCTCCTGTCCTTCCAGAAACCTCCTCTACCTGGGTGACTAACCTAATTTTGCTGATTCCATAAATACACAATTAGTTTAGTATGAGCCATCACAATGTACCATGTACATTCATGGTGAGAGCTAAAGATTGACACAGATTTCTAGGAGCTGTATTCATGCCGGTTACTTGATCCAATTGTGTAGATGGGATATTTGAGTGGAAGGAATTTATACTCTTTAAGTGATGGGATTCCATCGAGCTAGCACTCATGATCATGACCTTTTTGGTAGTATTCTTAAGCAAAATTCTACAGAGACTAAATGTTAGAGATGACCCTCCATTTTCAATTTTAACTAATTCTATCCCCTTTCTCAAAACCCAACCCTCGTGCATGCTTTCTCAGCCTTGTGGGACTGGATACAATGACTGACCCCCCTCCCCAAACACCATTTTCCATGGAGTTAAAAAAAATTTTTTTCTTAACCTTACATATCATAGTGAATGGTTTCCCCAGTGTATATGAATGTTTTAAGTGTCTCCAATAGCTTATGCAGTTTAGAAGCTTTTCAATAGTCATTTAATAAGGTTAAATCATTTGCTAATTGGAAATTTTACCACCTTCCATTGTTCCTGTATTACCAAATTTCAGCTCTCGGGAGCTGTTCTATGATTCTGAATTGCTTTTCTTGCTTCTCTTAGTCACCTGTCTGTCACAGGAGGTTCTTGCTCAGTGATGACATTGTGAATTAGATTTAATAACCTTATTTTTTTTGCGCTTCAGATGTAGAAGAAAAGATCCTGCTTCCATTTGAAAGGAACTATAAGCTTTTATCTTCTAACCAACTGAACAACACACCAAAAGCAGCCTAAGGATGAGCATTTCTCTGAAAGCAATTAGGTTATTCACCTGGTATTAAAACGATTTGCTATTTTAAAAAATATGTGACTTTCTTGATTTAAAAGGCAGCATCAAAAACTGCAAAGGAAGGGGAAAAATAGCTTCTCTGCACTCGTTCGGAGCTCCCAGAGCCGGACCATCGAGATGAGGCATCCAGACCATCTGCCCTTTCGGGAACACCCTGCCCAGGGCCAGGTCCGGGGCACCTGCGTGCGGAAGGCAGCCCTTCCCTTCCTGGCCCTGGAATGAGGTGGTCTTGAGCCTGGCAGAGAGGCACCTCCCCCTCCTCTCTCTTGTTCTGAATGGTGTTTGTGTCAGTCTGCAGCTGTGTATGGTATTACGTCTTATAATCCTGCATCACTTCTATCCTATCCAGTCATATCTAATGTAGAAAATTAGTTTCCAGTGGAAGTAATATGTAGTGCTTTTATGATATTTGTGTGCAATATCCCCTCTTCCATTGAGGATATTTGATGTAAAAGAAAAAAAAAAAACACCGCAGTTCCACAATAAAATACAAAAGTGGCAAAAGTTCAGGTGTGTGCTGTCTTACGTTTTGTGTTGCTGAGTTGGCTCATCGGGAGTTGGGATTTGCGATCTATGGTCAGGGGGGAGTAGGGAAGAGCAAACCTCAGAGAGGATCCTGATACTATTTCTGTAACTGCTGCCTTGTTATCTTGTATAACCAGGACATTGGGGTCTTACGACAGAAACTGGGAAGTGAGGGAAAGAGACAACTAACATTGCGTGAAAAGAAAAAGTAAATATACCAGTGTAGTTGGAGGGGGGTATTGGGAGGGTTTCCCCATGAACCAATTATAAACCCCAAACCAGGTGTTACTCCCAGCTCTGCCACACATGGCTGCGTGACCTCTCACTTTATCCCTGTCGGGAGTTTCTTTTCTCACCTGTGAAGGAAAGGCTTTGACAAGATGGTCACACTGGATGGCCCTCCCAAGACTGACTTTATGGGGTCTATAAGGCCATCTTACTCAGTAATTACATCCAACGCCTTCTCTTGGTTTCTTGCGCAGTTACAGAGTAAGCTCTATGTAAGTAGCGTAATACCCTGTGGATGTGACTGACACCCAGGAACTAAAAGCTGTTTCAGAAAAGTGATTATGCATGAAGTGCCTGAAAAAAGGAGGAATTCCTCATAGTCATTCACATTCTTGAACCTTTACTCAATACCCAGCAGTAGGTAATACTGTGAGGACTTAAAGGTGAACAAAGCTGCCCTAACTGGGGTGACAGGGGTCCCCAAGTTCAAGGGCAAGCTGTGGTGACCATAGGAAAAGCACCTGTTCTAAGCTGAGAACAGGTGTGTGGGTGCGCTGGACAGAAAGTAAATTCCAGGCGGAGGTAGCAGCTCACATGGAAGCACAGTGAAGAGCAGGGTCAGTGTATCTGGGGCCTGGACTGCTCAGAACGGCAGAGCACAGAGTGGACGGCCTGGCATCTCAGTTCCCTCCATGTGGCACCGAAAATGTGCCCGCAGAGTGCTCAACAGTGACCTCTAGGACATGGCCTTTCTGTCTTCAGGGATGGTCTTTTGGCCATAGGTCTGTCCTGAATCAATGATGTTCCTTTGTCGCACACACTCCTTTTGATCTTACACTGTGCCTCCAAACCATGGGGCTTCATTGACCCGTCCCATTAGAAGTCACTATTTGCCAGAAGGGATTCTGAAATTCCTCCAGAAATGGAAGGGTTAAGCAAACATGTGAAAACTCAGGGTGGGAAATCACCAAAATATTTTAATGACATCAGATTAACCTTAAGTAAATACTTTTCTACTCCACTGTCAGGCTATCCCGTCTCAGAAAGGCTTTCTGGCCTGAACCCAGGGGGACTGACCCTCCAGGGTTGCTGGGACTGTCCTGTGACTGAACATCCCGTGTCCCAGGAGACTCCTCAGTCCCTAGAGCCCTCAGTTTGGTCACCGTACCTGTTCCATTTCACATTCTGCCATAGGCACACTCACCTTAGAGGGTGTTTTATAGATGAAGATGTTGAGCTCTGCAGAGAGGAAGTGTCAGCAACCAAAACCCTCCTGCCACCGGGTATAACAAAGGATGTGAGGTCCCCTTTATAAAGCCTTCACAAATCGTCCTTGTGTCCTTGATCTAGCTTTTTTGAAAAAAAAATACATTTTATTTATTTTTTACAGAAAGGAAGGGAGAGGGATAGAGTTAGAAACATCGATCAGCTGCCTCCTGCACATCCCCTACTGGGGATGTGCCCACAACTAAGGTACATGCCCTTGACCGGAATCGAACCTGGGACCCTTCAGTCCGCAGGCCGATGCTCTATCCACTGAGCCAAACCAGCTAAATCCGATCTAGCTTTTAAAGCCCAGAATAGAATTTATTTTCAGACGCTTTTTTTGTAACAAACTGTTTGTGAACATGCCCAGCTTGGATTTGGAACCCCTAACGTTCCTACACAATAAACACACAGCCCAAGTAACTGCTTTGTTTTAGACAAAGATCCCAGTGGCGACTGCCACAGTCTCAGCGGCATTGCCACCGCCTTTGGCTTGGACATCCCTGTCACCATAAAGGTAATGACATCCTCAGGGCAGCATGCGGCATCACCAAAAGGTCAAATCAACGGGGGAGGAAGGTTATTTTCAAGCTAAGAAGCTGTTATTTAGAATAAAAGGCAATTTTCCTGACAAAACTGTTGAAAAGCATTCCTCTTTCCCCATTTTCTAAAAAGATTTAAAACATTTATCATTCTCAGAGTTTGAAAAGTTCAGCTCTGAAGTAGAACTCTGAAAAGCTGAGCTCTAACCATGTAATGAAAAGACAGTAACACCACATATTTTGCTCTTATGAGTCACTAAAGCCAAAGCCCCCTGAGCCCATTTTAAACTCCGTCCCTTCCTCACCTGCACAGGCCCATCGAGGTTACGGGGACAGTGGTGTTGGATCCCGCTGCCTTGTTGGAGGTCACATTACAGCAGCTTCATTTGGGCTCAAGACCCCTGGTTCCAGGTATATATCCTCAGACAGCAAAATCACATAAACCACCGTTTACCCTTTTCCATATGGTTCATAGGTCAAGATCCAACCACTGAGCCACACCAGCTGGACAAAAAGGTACCTTTAGATTTATCTTGGACTTTCCTCTTGCTTTAAGGGAATGGCAGAAAAAGCCCTGCCCTTGATAAACCAAATGTCAGAACTGGCTTTGGATTACAGCCCTCTACCTGAGTTAGATTCAGCTTTGCTAGCAGAGGGCCCGTGTGGGATACTAACTGCAGGTGTATATGGAGGGAATGTGCAGGGTGAGGCCCGCAGTTTCAGGTTTCTCATTTACAACGGGTTCCTGGTACCTCCCTCATGGGGTTGCTGGGGTTGTTGGCACACAGTGAGACTTCCATAAGTGTCAGTCTAATGGAGAAGAAGGGTTGAAAATATGTTGCTGAAAATCATAGTAACTATGATGAGATTCCCTATGTCTCTCTCCCTTCCTCAAAAGATAAAGAACACATTAAAGGAAAAAAAAAAAAAAGAAGAAGAAGAAGAAAACAGAATCCAACAAAAGAATCCAAGAACATTTATTTCCACAGGTTCTTGATAAAAGACCGCAATCCAGAATAGAAGTACACTGCTCTTAAAGGCAAAATTACACAGCAAGCAAGAGCTACCCCAACCCCTTTCACAGAGAAACTTCAGGAATGTTGGCCTCCCGAGGGTTTGATAATTACCCATTCTCCCATGCACTGGAAGCCCACGCTGTCCCAGATTTTCTGCAACTTCTCTGACTGAGATGTGTGTTCACAAGCCTGTGTGTGTGTGTGTGGGGGGGGGTGGGTGGGTGGGTGTATGTGTGTGTGCACACAAAAGGCTCATCTGACCTACTTAATGAAGGAGCTGAGACAATGGGTTGGAAAAAGGTACCTCAACATGATGGAGAAGCTCCCAGCCAAGGAGACTAGCTTTCTCCTCAAGAGTCCTTACATTCTAAAATGCCACAGAGGTGCCTGCAATTTGAAAGCCATTGACTGACCTTCTCCCAGTTCAGGTCTGGGTGAGACACAGGGAAGGAGAATGTGGAGACTGCCCCAGAGAGGAGAAGGGACTGAAGTCCCAGGACGTGCAGTTTGCCTCGGGTGGGGGGAGAGAGACCATTCGAAAGCCTGTGCTTGAGACTGGATACCTGAACCCTGGCCCCTGTCAGGAGCTCCGAGGTAGCTGGTGGCTGCAGTCTGACTGCTTTCCTAGTTCCACAGCCTCTGGAACTAAAAGTGGGCAACCTGCACGGGCAGACACAAGGCCTCTGTCTGTAGAACATCTCGGTGTTCCTCGCACAGGTGGACGGCTTACAGAAGGAGAAGGCGGATGGAGGAGGCTGAGGCTGCCATCACGGTCACAGTGAACCCATGATGGGGCTGGTGAAGTCCCTGTGGTGGGGCTGGGCTGTGGGGCCCGGTTAGGCAGCCGCCTTTGCTGCTTGCTGAGCCAGGTGCTCCTGCTTCGCCTTCTCCCTGAACTCCTGTTCCCGCTGAATCAAGTACAACAAATCCCGATGCCACTGCTGCAGCTTCTGCTTGTAGGTGGCAATGTCCTCTGCTTCACAGGCGGGCAGCTGGTCTTTGATGAGCTGGGTGGTTAGAGTCAAAAGATTCTCTGACTCAACTTTGCCCAGAGCCTGAAGCTGGGAGTGTAAGGCCTGTTGGAAAGAAAGGAAAAACGAGGAGAAGGGCGTGCGTGTGGAAGAAGGATACAAGGAGGAGAAGAGGTAAATCCCTTGCAAAGTCTCCACACATCCAGCTTGCAGGAAAAGGCATGCGGTTGGGACCCTGGCAGAGGCCTTCCATCCAGGCACTGATAGCGTTTGCTCCGTTTCCCCCCAGCCCAGCCATTTGGCTAAGATGTACTACATGTCATTTCTTCCCCTTCACTTACAAACAGTAAATGAAACTCCATATGCTGTGATTCCCTCTAGTTTCTTGTTTTAAACCACAATGACAGCACAGGCATAACAAATCAACATTTCCACCCCGCCCTGCACTGAACCGAGCAGCCAACCCCAAGAACAAAGAACTCAAAGATGCAAACAAAATGGCAGAAGCGGCTGATAAACTGGAGGAAGCCCCTCCACATCTTTTCCTTCAGAATCACCGAGATAAATGTTGGCCTGATGCGCGTTCCTTTTAACAGATGGAAGCCATTCAAGGACTTCTTGCTAATGGCGCACTAACAGCTCCCGCGGGTGCTGCGCTCCACGGGCTCCACCTGCCGCGCTCACAGGTCAGCCTGTAGTGCTGACTGCTCCGCTCCATCGGAAATGGCAGCTGGGTTTGTTCGCACTGTATTCCCGGGGAAGTAACGTACGAAAAACACTAATCTACTTAAGTGCTTCAAGATGTAGATCACTGGAGAGAGCCACTTACGGCCCAACTAGAGCTTATGCCACACAGCTCCATGTTCCAAACAACTGCAGTTCCCTGGCACAGGCGAGGAGGTCTGCTCCCAGGGGGAGCGACTGTGAGCAGGTCTACAGGCTTCAGGTAGTGGCCAGAGGCGCAGTGTGATGGGTCTGTCATATAAAATTTGGCCCAAAACAAATTACCTGAGACTAATAAACATGAAGCAAGAGGAAGACAAGGAAATATAAGATGAAAATCATTATTCATGGGGTTTGAGGCCAAGGAGACAGCTTGGGACATCAGAATAAGGACTCAACTCTGAGTCAGAAAACGTTTGTTCAAGTCTAAAGTCTATGGGCTGGTTTCTCTCAGCCGCGGTGTCCTGTAACATGGATGAGCCGCATCTGTCACCCAGGGCCACAGTGAGGACAGACGAAATGCAGTGGTGTCTGATGCACAGACAGTAGTCAATAAGTATTTGTCTCTTGTCTTTTTCTGATTTTTTTAAAAATGTTTTTGGAAGTGTGAGGACTAAGAATTTAATTTAGGCACTGATTTCTATTCTTTGAGGTTAAGTATATAAGAAACAATAGAAAGAGGTGGTAATTTTCAGTAACGGTGTGACAGCCCTGGTCAATATGAATATGGTAAATGATAATCTATGGGACTCAGAAGTTTTTATTTTGTTTTTTTGGCCTTTCTATATCTTCAAAATTAGGCAAAGTTAATTGGAAAAGAATTAAGCCAGCTCTACTGTTAATTCTCTGTGAACATGGATTAACCTTTCTTTCTCAGTTTTCAAATTATAAAAGGGGAAGTTGAGCAACGACCTTACAGAATACTGGAAGAAACAGTTGCTAAAAGTACAACAGAATCCCCCTTATAACACGGGGAAATAGGTATCTCACAGCTGGTTCATGATAATTACGGAAAAGATGTAAAGGTTATAATCTGGCGAAATGTACATCTCTCATCCCAAAGTGACATAATGGGTCAGCTGGCATGGATGCGAATGGTTTCTGCTTCATACAAAGAGTTCTCCTTTGGGTAGCACTTTTTTTCTCTTTGCACAAAATAGATGAGAAAAAGCAAATAAGAGGCCAAGGGTTTAACCAGTGGTTCTCAACCATAAAATTATTTTCGTTGCTACTTCATAACTGTAATGTTGCTACTGTTATGAATCGTAATGTAAATATCTGATATGCAGGATGGTGTTAGGCGACCCCTGTGAAAGGGTCGTTCGACCGCCAAAGGGGTCGTGACCCACAGGTTGAGAACCGCTGGTTTAAACTCTGAACATGGCTCTTCTTTTCTGACGACCACAGAGGCTTTGGGGGTGTTAGCTGAGAGCTACCAAAGGCAGCTTCAGTGCTCAGGGCTGCTGAAAGGGAGAGTGGCCTTGTTTCCATCTTCCACGCGGGACAAGAGAGCATTTCTAATGGCCTCATACACAACACCAAGCCGCCAAGAGGAGCAGAGGAAGATGCCTGCATCTAACCTTCATCCTGCTCAAGTGTGGCTCGGTAATTCCTACCTGCATCTCTGGGTTGTCAAGCACGCTTAGCACAACATGGAGAAAGGACCAGATCCTTTCCTCTCGGGGTTGGAGTCAGGTGATGGCTAGGAGGAGGCAAGCTATTACCGACCCACCAGGCACATGTCAGGGATGAGGGGTAATGACATGCTGCCTTAGCGAACAAAACGGTGACCCATTAGCTCAAGTACAAAAAGGAGCCTAGAAATTTACATTTGTTCCTTTTAAGACCACTTCCTGTGTGAAGCAATAAAAATGCAATTTTTGATGTCAGTTTTTAACGCCTTTGTGTGTGACATTAATGCATGAAAGGACTGCCTGTCTATCACTAAGGCAGAGAGCATGCTTAATGCACAGCTGAGTGCTGTGACTAACCTTAAATCGCTCCAGGTAGCGGGGAAGCTTGGACTGTTCGGTTTCTTCCACGTCCAACTGCTCCACCAGCTCTTCTGGGCCCTGGCTGTCCTCCCCTCCTTGGGGCTGTTCCTCTGAGGACTCCTGGGCCGGAGCCGTCAGAGCCTGCAGTGCTCTGTCCAGCACGTCGAGCTGTGGGGCAGAAAGGGGCAGGGACTCATCAGCTCATGGCCCTGAGAGCACATTGAGAAGAGAGGCTGGAGAAGGGAAAAGAAGGAAATCCAGGATCTAAAAAGTCGTGAGAAGAGTTCTCTTATCAAATTATAGGAACAGAAATGGTTATATGATTTCCATTGGATACATCCTGTCAGACGGCATGGAAAACTTCGTACAAAACAAATGGTACAAATAAGCAAGTGCAAAATTATTTGTATATGAATCAGCACAAGGGCATTTGATTTTACATTTAATCAACCAGGTAGGAATCCAAGAATTATGTTCAGTGGGCACAAAAGAATGCCCTTCCCACCTCCAGGTCTTTCTTCCGTAGTCAGTTTGGAATTGGGAGAAAGGCAAAGAAAAACCAGCATAGACCACAACCAACAAAGGCCACCGCGAATGCACGGTGAAGCTTCTGAGCCTCGGCGAGGGCCTCCTTCAGATGTTAGCTCGCAGAGTATCTGTGAATTAGGGATCCGCGCAACCCACATTGCTGCTGGCAAAGACCAGAGGCACACGTGAAATTCACTTTCACGAGGTGGTGTCTGTGACTTAGAAAGGAAGTAAATTATACAACAGAGGCTTTGTTTTGTCCCCTGCCCCTCACCACTTTCACCTTGGGGCACACCTCCTCGACCCAGAGGGACTAATCATCAGAGATGGCACAGAAACAACCTCACAGCCAGCCCTAGCACCTGTTTCAACACAGATTAATTCTGTCCATGCCACGTTAGAGCAAAAATCCAGAAATACTCCAAGGCCTTTTAATGGCACTAATACATTGCACTCAAACCTGACACATGCCCCATTCTTGCTGACATCTGAATCACATTCTTATTAAGTCAGAACACAAAGAATGCAGATCTGGCTCAGAGTAGAAGGACTATTTCCTCGGCAAAGTACTGATGTACAATTTTGTTTTCAATCACTAGCACTGACTATAGCAGGGCTAAGTAGGGATATATATTTAGAAGTGTGTATGCTGTTCTAAACCTGGCAAAGAACATAATGGTTCGCTAGACATTAGCATGCAGAGCCACTACAGGAACCAGACTTGTACATCTCCCGACTGAAATGAAAGCCAAAAGGCGAGTCCTAGTGATCAGGGTCAAGGTAAAACAAGTAAGCAGCTCACAGTTAACTTTCACAGCCTAGAAGGAAACAACCACTCTGACACAAAAGCTGCTTGGATAGGAGTGGACACTGGCTTCCACTGTGGGGTTAGTGTCATATGGCTCTAAGATCCCTCATCTCCTGTAGCCTGAGCTAAGTCTCGTAACTGGTGTCAAGAGTCCTCGGTGACTAAGAGAGATGAGCTTGGGACTGAAGGACAGCCCCCTAGTCCAGGCAGCACGAACGCCTTGACCTCTAAGGGACATCTGATCTGGGTCTCAGCACTGGGCATTCACCATGGAACTCATAAATGGAAGGGAAAGAAGGCTGTGCCATCTCTAGTCCCCAGATTCATTTCTGTGGGCTCAGGAAAAGTTGCCATTTAGTCTCCCAGGGCTCTAGGGTACAGCAAGGCCAACATTTTTAAGTGGAATCTTAACCTCTCCTGAGCTGCCACAGAGATTTTATTGGGGAGTGGGCAGTATTTTATTGAACTCAGGGGAGGGGAAGGGGTTCCCTCCTAGACAGTGGGCTATAAAGTCAACAGTGATCTTATTTTCTAGTACATTTGGTCAGTAACATTGAGAATGCTTGTGGCTTTTCATTCCTTTTCATCTGAATAAGTACATGATTCTACAGAAATAAAAAAGAAGTAGGGGACAGGGGAAGACAATAAAAACAAATACAAAACACAACTTAAGAGGTGGCTAACTCCCATTGAATTAGGACGAGGAACATACCGCTTCTCTACATAGCTTTCCATCTTCTGGGGAGGAGGCCACCTTCTCCATCACCTGAAGGGCTCTGTCAAGGTAGCCTGGTCGCCACAGCAGAGGCATGTCGTGGTACACAGCCCGCAGCCCTCGCTGCAGTTCCACCTTCCCTGTGGCCAAAGGAACAAGGAGAAAGCTCAGCCATGCCTTCCCACTAGGCCTGAGACAGAGGCGCCCGTGCACACCCACCGGGCAGCTCTAGAAACAGAGAAGGATCATTTCATATCTGAGCCGAGGGCCCTACCCCACCCAGCCACCTGTGACATTTCAGATGGATGGTGCGGAATGTGGTAAGATTCACTGAATATGTTTTTTAATACACAATTTTATGAACTTGTTTCTCCTCTTTTTCACTTGGACTGGTGGGGATTATCATGAGGACGTCTGCAGCGTAGGCTGAGGGCAATTTAGAGAGGCTGATATATCTGCGTCTAAGTGGAGCTGCCCTTATAAAATGAGTCAAACAACTGAAATACTACTTTTGTTTTAAGAACAAAATCTTCCTCAGAAAAAAATTCTACCACTTCCCTACACTGAAAATCTTGTCAACATTGGACAACTTGACCGGCCAGGAAATGTGGGACAGTTTTTGAAATGCTCCCAAACGTCCCATTGACTGTCCTCATGAAAAAAATAAAAATCCCATTTTGCTCTTTTGTCCTTTATTTGAGCGTTATCAGTGCTAAAGGCATAAAGTCCGCATCATCCTCTGGCTCTCAGGACATGAGTGTTCCTCCTGGTACCTCAAACCATCATCCCCCCTGGAACTCAGGATGCCAGACAGCAGGGTCCTCTGGTGGGGGCACTGTCTGTACTCCTGGGGCCCAGAGCCCCCTCTGCACTAATGACCAAAGTCACCTTGAGCTGTCAGGTCTCAAATCCACCTTCACTTATCTTTCCTGGGAAGGAGGATTTGGAAAAGCTCTAGCAGGACATAAATAGACAAAGCTTATCAGGTGACAGCTAACTTTAGAGCTTTAAGATGCTTGGGGCCAGACTGTGGCCACATTCTGGGAAGCGGCTGCCATCGAGGTGAGAGGGGCTGTCCAGCACAGGACACAAGAGCAAACAGCTTCTAATGGGATGGCTGCCAGTCCCAATGCCCCAGGGCCTCTGCTCAGAAACAACAACAAAGTACATTTTCTTAGCCCTGACAACTTCCTGAATAATTCCTATAGTATAATAGACTTGAATGCACACCTGAAGGCAAAAACATGTAAATCAGAATTGAAAAGAGATGGCAAATAAGGAGAATATGACTTCTTAAAAGTGTTCAACTCTTTTGTGAGTCTGACAGCCCGTCTGGTAAACTCTGAAATTCCTCCCTGAGTCACTTTATATCAGGATCAACCTCCAAGGATGCCACATTACATTCTATTGAAGATAAACTTCAAAGGCAGCCAAACTGCTATAACAAAATAAGCAGCTCAAAGTTAACTTTTACACCTTAGTAATGAAATAGCCAATGTGACGATTTTCAAAAAACAAAGGTCAGGAGAAGCAATGATTAATCAGGAGAAGGTGCTTCCTCAAATGCCTATCAAGTCAGACAAAGCCTGGAAGAATAATGACATAATTTGCACTTAGCAAACCTCTGCAAACAGGGCACATTTAAGGCTGAATCTTACTTGCCCTGATTGCACAGAGCCCAGGTTCTGAGGCCGCACTGCAGAGGCTTCGCCTCCTGACCCGGCTGGTCCAGGGCAGTCAGGGCCCTTCCCCCGCACAGCACAGCCACACTGTGCCAATGAGCCACTCACTGCTTTCCTGAAGTGCTACCAGTGGCGCTGAGTTTCTCTTCCCTCACCCGAAAACAATACCAAGGAGAGGACTTCAACCCTAACTCTCAATGTCTTACTCCCTGGACTTCAGATCTAAAGAGAGAGAAAGATGTTAATACTGGAGAAGATTCTACTGGCTGGTTCTCCCAAAAGGGGCCGGAACTTTCCTTTTGCGCTCTAGCCCTTCCTCACACTGATTACCACTAAATATAATCTGTGGCCACCAGCACTAGTTCTCAGCTTGCAAGTTGGCAACAGTAAGGCCATCAAAGGTTATTTCTTTGTGCCTAAAAGTGAAAGTTGTATAGGAATTTACCAGCAAATCTAAATCAAACTATAATTTTATTGTGAAGGAGAAAAGTGCATTAGTTATCCCGATGAAGCACAATATCTGTAAGGATCACTGAGCTTACCCAGAAGTGCATAGCCATACAGCTGGGAACTCAAACCCACTGAGTTCTTCTGCTTTAGGCCTGGGAGTAACAGGGATGCACCGAAGTTCCTCTCCTCTTCCCACTGCAACAGAATATACCAGGTCACTGTCCAGACAAGCAATGACTACTTTACACAAAAACGTGATTTTTAATAACATGGAGGAAAAAGAACATGTCATAGCATTAAGTTAAAAAAGCAAAATAATAAAGCTATAGATACACTATAATCACAATTTTGTAAATAAAAGGTATTTGTGTTTAATGAAAAACACAGGATGTTAACAGATTTCTGGGTAGTGAAATTATGAGTAATTTTGGTTTTCTTCTTTGTACTTTTCTTTATTTTCTAAAATTTTGGCAACGAATAAGAGCTCCTTTTACAATCAGAAAAGCAAAACAAAACCAAAATAAAGAGTATACGCTGGATCAACATTGCCTGGGGCAATCAACAAAAACTGACACGCTGCCAGCCCCATGTTCACTCCCATGGCTATGACATGATGGAGGAAGCTTTTGAATTTTGAACAATTCAGCAACGACAGGATTCCCATTTGACAGTGTTAAAATAAATACAACTATTAGGCTGCTTTTAGGTAGATCTGTGCCTATCAAAAATAAATTAGGCAATCAGAAACACTTAGTGATCATTTCTTTCAGCCCAGGGCGCAAAATTACACTTCAATAAAATTGGAGCCTTTGAGACATGAGAAAATGGGGCAACACCACAGCATTGCTAAACTTGCAGCAGAACAGCAACAGCAGTGACAGGGATTCCCTGGAAAAGCGGGCCCGGAGGAGAGCTGGGGTCATTCAGTGCCACTCGAGTACACACTGGCCTGAGCCCGGCTCTCGCCTGGAAACACAGAACACAAAGATCAGGCTGCCCGGCTGGTGTCTGCGCACAGAGGTCAGGGAGGAAGCAGGGAATGAGTGCGGTCTGCCCGACAACTGCAACTCTGTGTGAGTGAGGCACCCCAGGTGTTAATGGGCACCCAAAGCTTTTTCCTGGGGATGGGCTTTGTGCGACAAAAGTGTAATTTCTTCAGGTCTGAAAAAAGCAAAGGCCTTGGGAGAGAAACAAAGCCTCCCCAGGCACTTCTGAGCACAGATAAGTGAAATTGCTGGTGATTAAGGACCAGGTCCTTTCAGTTTCAAAAGCAAATCACTCACTATAGGTTTGATTTCCCCACATAAACTGCAAGAAAAGGGGCCAGTGAATAATAAATGAGCCTTAAAAACATTTTTTTTTCTTTAAGGAAACCATGGTCTAAGTATCAGAATGCAATAGGGCGAAAAGCCAAGTGAGCGGTATCCTTGCTGTGCTGGGAGCCAAGCAACGTGGTGACAGCGACAGGAATGGCCATACTCCCAAAGGACTTTTAAAAAGGTGAAAACAAACAAAAACAAAATGAGTGTCTTAGAGGTGTTTTTAAAAAAATGGTCTGAGAATAATGCAACCATGGCTGAAATATTACTAGTAGGTTATGGACTAAGTCAGGTGCTATTTCACCAATGTCCTCTAGGTTTTTCCATTTTATGCTTCTGCCTCTCCCATTAATACAAAGCAAACCCTCATTCCCCCCTCCCCCTGCTCCACTCCACTTCAGTTAGACATCTCAGAACACCTGCCTACACTTGCTGTCTCCCTTCTGCACCTCTAACTCACTCCACAATCCACTCCAATTTGGTTTCCTGCTCCATTATTCTATGGAAACAAAGGTTATTATTTTGTGCCTTCATGCCACTGCATTTAATGAAATTTAAAAAGGTCCTCATCTTACTCAGAAGCATGCTATACTGCAGACCACTCTCTTCCCGTGGGTTTTGTGGTCTGCACATTTCTATTTCCTTTTTGCTCTGTGGCTCATTTTCAGACATTTACACATGGATGTATAAATTTTATATCCAGATTTTTCCATTAAGCTCCTAATTTCCCTTGTGCAATCTCGACTGTCTCAAAACGCAGTCTTCAGAGCCATACTTCAGAGCTAAATTAATGATTTTCTTCATAAAACCCAGTCTTTTTCCAGAGTTCCCTTTGCAAACACATGGCAACCCCTCTGTCCAGATACACAAGCCAGAAACTGAGATAAGATTTGACCCCCATTTTCCTGCCTCCACATCTAGTTCATCATCATGTTATCTGCCTCCCAAATATGTCCATTGGCTACGCTCTAACTCCACCACATCCTGGTCCCAAACTACCATTATCTCTTGCTCAGACAACCATAATCATCTCCTAAGTGCTCTGACCACAGCCATCCCGGTCCCACTCTGATCTTTTATGCACATTACAGCCAGAGGCATCTTTTTATTACAAATCTGATCATGTCACACCTCTGCTAAAAACTTTTCAATGGTTTCTCACTATTTTAGGATGAAGACAAATAGCTTAGCATGATCTATATTTTCCTACCTTGTCTCATCCTACAGCTGCCTTCCATTCTCTCTGTTGCAGCTACACTGATTATCTTCCTATCTTCCTCCAGTCCCTTTCTGCTCACCATATTCTTTCTGCTTCTGCACATGTTTTGGATTTTCTTTCCCCTTTTCAGTCAGTTAATTCCTAGTCATCCTTCAAATATTAACCCGAGAACTATTTCCATAAGAAAGCCTTTCCTAACCTATCTAAGTTTAAAATACAAACAAAAATTCCTATAGCCTTTCATAGACCACATCTTTGTAGTACTCATTATAGTCATAATTTTATATTTGTGTGTGTTTCATTTTTAAATGCCTGTAATCTTCTTAGATTGTAGGCAGGAAATGTTTGCTTACCTTTGTGCACAGGTATGAAATGTTATAGGTGCTTAATACATATTTAATGAGATAATGAATATGGTGTTTGCCATAGGCTATTAACACTCATCTTAGAAAAGCAAACACACCATAACTTCTTTAGAATGTGGGCTGGACTAGATGACATTTTCAGTTCTTATCCAAATTAGAATTAAAAAATAAATTTTTTTATTGGTTTCAGAGAAGGGAGAAGGGAGAGAGAGATAGAAACATCAATGATTAGAGAGAATCATTGATCTGCAGCTGCCTCCTGCATGCCCCCTACTGGGGATTGAGCCCACAACCTGGACATGTGCCCTTGATCGGAATCAAACCCGGGACCCTTCAGTCCACAGGTTGACGCTCTAGCCACTGAGCAGAACTGGCTAGGGCCCAAATCAGAATTTTTTAATGTTACATTTAAGGTTAAGGGCAGATAATAGGATCAGACTTCCTGGCTTCATAAGGCAGTTTCATGCTATTAACTGACATCCCTGTGCCCCAGCCTTCTCATCTGTACAAAGTTGTGAGAACTGACTGCATTAATAAATTTCCTAGTATAAAGTGCTATTTAAATATTAGTTATTGTGTTATCACTGTTGTTATTCTTAGGACAGCAATAAATAATGACTAAATACCTAACCTAATGGATAAAACCAAAACCTGACATTCTGGATTGACCCACTGTAACCTTAGGAAAGTACTGATAGAAATTAAATAATTGGTATTTAATACCTAGGGTTGTGGTCAAAGTCAGCAGCCTCATTTCCTCTTTGATATGCCAGGTCCAGCTCTCAATGACTATCTGTTACCCATTTCTGAAGAGCACTGGAACTAGATCAAGTTTCAAAACGTGCCTAAGCACTTTCACTTGTGATTCTCGTGAGTGGAGGACATCCAGTTCCACTTTGTTAGAAAGCACTAACTACAATGGAGCGCACTCATTCCTCGTTGTACACAGCCACAGAGCTGCCCAGCAGACAGCTCTTTCCAGATCCGAGAGCCGGGGTTTCCTCTGGCCACCTCAGCCTGCCCAGTAGCCACTACCTGCTTTTTCTAAGGTTCTGGGGAACTGCTTGAAGGTAGATCACTTACAGTGAAGTCTGTCTTCTTTGCCAGGCAGTGGTATAAAACATAGAGGGAGAGAAGCTGGGTGGAAGGTACTTCAAAGGCTTCTTGCATCATGACCTCAAAAACTACGGATAAAGCATCTGGCAGGAAGATCAAAGTGAAAACGAGAGCAAATTAGCTGCAGGTAACATCACCAAATCTGTATTTAACTATAAATACTCTTATAAAAACATGGGGTACGATAGAAAAATAAACAGAATTAAGAAGTAAAAAAATGTGGCTCTGTTCCTAGTTCTTCCCAAACCTTTAGCTTCTATTGTACATACTTGTATGCACTAAACCAGGTGCTACTGTACCACTCTCCTCAAGGACATTGAATAAACCACTTAATTTCTCCCAGCATCAAGTTACTAATGATAAAATATCATTTGTCCCATCTACTTCAAAGGATTGTTGGACAGTCCAACAAAATAATATATATGAAAATGCCTCATACACTGGGAAGCAAATTTAAGGCAGCATGTCTATCAGCTGGAAGAGCTCAGGCACACAGAAAGGAGGCAAATATATTTTCCAGATCACCCTGACAAGCAGAGTGGGGCCGGGCTGACTGCTCCATTCTGTGTTCTGGCACCTTCTCCTTGTTAGGGCAAGAGAAGACAAATGCTAGAGGCAATCCTCAATCCCAGGTATTATTTCAAAGACAAAAAACTGATTAATATAAAGAGGACTATTGAACTCAGTTTAAAAGACTTGAACAGGGGAAAGGAAAATGCTCATTCATAAATTATAAGCACCTGAGTGTAATATACAACGTATTTGTTTCCACATGAACACTGGTCATAGGAGATCGGACATTGAGCAATTTTTATTTTCCCTCAATATTCCACAACATAGACAGAAGCCAAGAAAATCAAGTTCAAACAATTTCCTCTTCTTAATATTGTTAAATTAGAGAATGTTAATATTGATTTAAAATGTGGAACCTGCATTTAACAGACACAAATATTTCTGACTAACTGACTGAGTTGTTATGTTAACCAATTTTTGCATACACTCATAATTACAAGAGTTAGCACTGATTTGCAGCTGTTTCTAGCCAGCTGGTTTTGTACATGTTGTCATGGTTTGGAATGAGGCCACAAGCAAGAATTTCTATATTCTTTTTATAAATGGGGAAACTGAGATAGACAAGCAGACCAGGAAGTCATCTAGTCAGTAGCAAAGTAATGACCTGGAAGAGATTAAAAAAAGGGGGGGAGAGGGACAACAACTGCAAATAAAACAATATTTTAAAAGCAAAATTAAAGCTAAAAGTCCAGTTTTGTTTTGTTTTGTTTTTAAATATTTTATTGATTTTTACAGAGAGGAAGGGAGAGGGAAACATCGATGAGAGAGAAACATCGATCAGCTGACTCCTGCACACCCCCTACTGGGGATGTGCCCACAACCAAGGTGCAACCAAGGTACATGCCCTTGACCGGAATCGAACCTGGGATCGACCGGAATCGAACATTTTCAACATTACTACTCTGCATTTAGAAAAAGAATTCCACTGGAGACTGTCAGGGTCCCACCTGACAACTCTGTAGAGTCTGCTGCAATCACCATCTTTCATTGGCTCCCTTATTGTGGCTGAGGTGAAAGAGCCACTTTAAATTAATGTCACAGGATCAGAGAATTTGGGGTAAAGAGATCTCAGAGATCTCAGAGATAACCGATCCACTTATTTACAGATATATATATACACTAATAAAAGAGAAACATGGTAATTAGCATACGACCGCTACCCTTCCCATTGGCTAATCAGCATATCCTTATGCAAATTAACTGTCAGCCAAGATGGCGGCCAGCAGCCATGCACTGAAGCGAGCAGGGAGGCTTGCTTGCTCCAGTGACTGCGGACTCCAACGTTCCCCGCCTGAGTTGCCGGCCTCTCAGCTGCAACTCTAAGCAATATGTACTATGTTGCAAATAAGAAGCTAAACAAAACCCCAGAAACCGGCTGTCAGTCAGCCAGGTTCAGCCAGCCGGACCGCAACATTGTATCGATGTTTTCAGCAGCGAGGCTTCAGAGCTAAAGCTGGCCCAGAATAGAAAAAAAAAAGAAAAGAAAAAAAGGAGCGGTTGGGAGCTTCAGTCACCCGCTTCCGGAAAACAGCCCTCAGCCCCTCAGCCAGCCTGGCCAGGCACCCCAGTGGGGACCCCCACCCTGATCCAGGACACCCTTCAGGGCAAACCAGCCAGCCCCCACCCGTGCACCAGCCTCTATCCTATATAGTAAAAGGGTAATATGCCTCCCGGCACCGGGATCAGCGGAGCAGCGAGGCTCCCGGCACTGGGATCAGCGTGACAGGGGAAGGCGCCCCAACCATCTGATCAGCCCTGCTCTGTGCCTGACAGGGGGGAGCTCCCCAACCCCCTGATCGCCCTGCGGCTCTGTGTGTGACAGGGGGCGGGGCCACAACCTCCCTATCCACCCTGCTCTGTTCGTGACAGGGGAAGGCGCCCCAACCCCCTGATCAGCCCTGCTCTGTGCCTGATAGGGGGGAGCTCCCCAATCCCCTGATCGCCCTGTGGCTCTGTGTTTGACAGGGTGCGGCGCACCAACCCCCTGATCGGCCCTGCCCTGAGTGTGACAGTGGCGGCTCCCCAACCCCCTGATCGGCCCTGCTCTGTGGGTGATAGAGGGTGGCGCCCCAACCCCCCTCCACGGGCCTTGCTCTGTGTGTGACAGGGTAGAGCCATAACCTCCCCATTGGCTCTGCCCTGTGTGTGACAGGGTGCAGCGCCCCAACCCCCTGATCCGCCCTGCTCTGTGTGTGACAGGGGGCAGTGCCCCAACTCCCCTATCGGCCCTACTCTGTGAGTGACAGGGGGGAGCTCCTCAACCCCCTGATCGGCCCTGCTCTGTGTGTGACAGGGTACGGAGCCCCAAACCCCCCTGATGGGCCCTGCTCTGTGAGTGACAGGGGGCAGCGCCCCAACTCCTTGATTGGCCCTGCTCTGTGAGTGACAGGGAGCAGCGCCCCACTCCCTGATCGGCCCTGCTCTGTGCGTGACAGGGGGTGGCGCCGCAACCTCCCCATCGACCCTGCCTTGAGTGTGACAGGGGCGGTGCCCCAACCCCCCAATCGGCCCTACCCTGAGCGTGACTGAGGGTGGCATCGCAACCTCCCAATCCGCCCTGCTCTGTGCATGACGGGGCGGCGCCCCAACTCCCCAATCGGCCCTGCTCTGAGCCTGACCAGGGGCTGCACCTAGGGATTGGGCCTGCCCTCTGCCACCCGGGAGCAGGCCTAAGCCAGCAGGTCGTTATCTCCTGAGGGGTCCCAGACTGCGAGAGGGCACAGGCCGGGCTGGGGGACCCCCCTCCACCCCCCCCCAGTGCACAAATTTTTGTGCACCGGGCCTCTAGTATATATATAAAAGGCTAATATACTAAGTGTCTGAACATCCAACCGGTCGCTAGGACGTGCACTGACCACCAGCGGGGCAGACGCTCAATGCAGGAGCTGCTGTGATGCACACTGGCCATTTACTGGGCTGGGAAAAGTTTAGCTAAATCAGAAAGCAGGTCTAATTAAGCAAGTTTATTCTATATCTATAAAAGGCTAAGGTGACTCAAGCATGTGCGATACATATAAAGCTCTTGCTGGTGCCAATTGCACAGGTGTTTCGGTATGTCATTGTCAATCGTGAATTTGGTTGACACTTCTATTATAGAGAAAGGGCGAAGAGCGATATTAAAATATTTCTTCTAATTAATTTCCTTTCAATGTGCACAAATTTGTGCACCAGGCCACTAGTTCAGTAATAAAGTCCCAGGGAGGGGAAATGGCTTTCCTTCATAGTGACTGTACTGCTCTTTCCAGGATGAGTCAACTGGTTTTATAGTTTTATATTTTAAATAATACAACTGTACTTTAAATTAAACAAAGTTAGCAAATGGTGCCCAGAAAAGGGGGCAAGCTAATAACAGCATCACTATAACCTTGACTAGCCATGGAAGCTCAGGCAGGGTTTTTTGCTTAATTAAACTCACTGTCCTTTGCCTAAAGAGACATGAAGAAGAGAAATGTAAGAAACTCAGAGGGGAAAAAACCTGGACATGATTTCCTCTCTGGGCAAGTGGCATGTCAAATCAACTACAAATCTATCTCTGACTAAAAGAGTGATGTAAAGAGATATCATTAAGAAGAAAAGGGAAAGTGACTACATCTACTTCTTTTTGGGAGCTGAAGCCCCATTATAAATGGGCTTGGTTTCTTACCTTGGTAATTTTCTTTCTTTATGAAATAATCTATCAGTAAATTGAATGTAAAGTTATCTGGGAAAATTCCATATTGAACCTGTAATGAAAATGAAAAGAAAAATAAGAGGAAAACATCCAGTTTAATTGGATTTATAATATATGCCTATTATTATTCAGGATGAAACTTGCCACCATCAGCTTTAAAATATTTGACTATCATTTTACAGCCTCTGTGACAGGGAAAGAGAAGCTGTGACTCATGAGCTTTGGTAACTGGGACTGCTACTCGGGGTGAGAAAGTGGGAGGTGTTTGACGTAAGACAATTGATATGTGAAAAATAAAACTCAATTCTAATACCTCATCATAGGTAAACAAACAAACCAAAAAACTGAAAAAAACAACCAAAAAACTTAAACCAACTCCCCCCACTCCCACATACTCCACTGATTCAGAGATTTTTTTTATAAGGTATGAATATCAATGCAAAAAGAGACTCCCATAAGAAAGCACACATTATCACCTTATGCAACATTTTCTGGCCCTTAGACTGTTTTCCCCCACTTTTATTGAAGTGTAATTGGCATATTATACTTGCTTAAGTTTAAGGTGTACAATATGATTTAATACACATGATATTGAGAAATGATCATCACAATAAGATTAGTGAACACATCTTTCACCACACACTATACAATATGGTATTGTTAACCATAGTTACCATGTTGTACATCAGATCCTCAGAAGTTATCCATTTTATAACTGGAAATGTGTACCCTTTGACCAATATCTTCCCATTTCCCAAAACCCTCAGCCCCTGGTATCCACCATTCTACACTCCTTTTCTATGAGTTTGTTTTTTTTAGATTGCACATATAAGTGACATTATAGGGTATTTGTCTTTCTCTGATTGACTTATTTCACTTAGCATTATGCCCTTAACTTCCATCCATGTTCTCACAAATGGCAGGATCTCTTTTTTTTATAGTTTAACTAGAGGCCCAGTGTACAAATTCGTGCATGGGTGGGGTCCGGTTAGCCTGCCCTGATCGGGGCCGATTGGGCCGGGCAGGTCTGGGGGAGGGCTGGGGGCAGTTGGCTGGCTGTCCCCACCCCTGATCAGGGTGGAGGGGGGCAATCAGGGGTAGGGGTTGCCAGGGGGAGGGGCTGCGGGTGGTTGGCTGGCCACCCCCGCCCCCTGGTCTAACTCCCAGTCGAACTTCCAGTCGAACTCTTGGTCGAACTCCCAGTCAGGGGGACAATTTGCATATTAGCCTTTTATTATATAGGATAATATTCCATTGTGTATAAAGACCATACTTTTAAAAAAATATTTTATTGATTTCAGAGAGGAAGGGAGAGGGAGTGAGAGTCAATGATGAGAGAGAATCATTGACCGGCTGCCTCCTGCACGTCCCCCACCAGGGACCAAACCTGCAACCCGAGCATGTGCCCTTGACCGGAATCAACCAGGAACCCTTTGGTCCATAGGTAAATGCTCTATCCACTGAGCAAATCCAGCTAGGGCCAGACCATACTTTTTAATCCATTCATTTGTCAATAGACATGCTGTTTCCATGTTTTGTCTATTGTGAATAATGCTGCAATGAACATGGGAGTGCATATTACCCTTTGAGATAGTGATTTCATTTCCTTTGGATATATACCTAGAAGTGGGATTGCTGGATCATATCGTGGTTTTACTTTTAATTTCTGGAGGAATCTTCATACTATTTCCCATAGTGATTGCACTAATTTACATTCCCACCATCAGTGAACAAGGGTTCCCTTTTTAAAGTCCATTAAAAAAATTTAGAAAGTCCATTAAAAAATGACCAATACCTGGGCTCCAGAAAGATCCTTGCCAGTACTTGTTATCTCTTTGTTGTCTCTTTGTCTGGTTTTTAAATACCCAAGAACTATGTTAATGAAATAGTACTAATCAAGCTTCTCAGATGTTCTGTTCACAAGCAGTTGAACATTTGAGAATCCAGATTTCTCCAAATATGGACTGTTCAGGAATGCTTTTAATAGTGCACATTCATAAGCCTCAGACTTACAGAATCAGAATCTCCAGGAATGGGGCACAGAACCCTGAAGTTTTATGTGTGTGTTTTGTTTAATATTTTTTGTTTTTATTGATTTCAGAGAGGAAGGGAGAAAGAGAGAGAGAGAGAGAGAGAGAGAAACATCAATGATGAGAGAGAATCATTGATCAGCTGCCTCCTGCACATATCCCACTGGGGATCGAGCCTGCAACCCAGGCATGCGCCCTGCCCGGGAATCAGACTGTGACCTCCTGGTTTATAGGTCAATGCTCAACCACTGAGACATGCTGGGCTGGCCAGAACCCTGAAGTTTTAGTGGATAAATTATTTGCCTGAAGTTATAGGTAACTCATGGAATTTTTGGGGTAATAGCCTGAGTGTTGTTTCCATAAAAGAGCAGGAACAGCAGAAAACAAGATAGACTTTTCTGCCTTTTGAGATCCTTCTTGTTTAGTTTGCCCAGGAATTTTCTTCTTTTAGTATAACCTGTGTTACAAAACTATGAACTGAAGAGAGCAGGATTTAATCTACTCTTTCCCCTGGGGCCCAATATTAGATTTACCAGTGAATCTGCTTATCTGCCTTATCTATAATAATAAAAGAGTAATATGATAATTAGACTGGATGTCCTTCCGGACGACCTTCTGGATGAAGCTGGGGCTGCGAGGGAAGCCCAGGTCCCGGGTGCCAGAGGGAAGCCATTGCTGGCAGCCGGGGGAAGGAAGGCCTACTCTTGCACGAATTTCGTGCATTGGGCCTCTAGTTAAATTATAGGTTTCCTGAGGCAAGGGCAGGATATTAATTATTTTTATAGACAATGCCATACCCAATGCAATGTCTCACATACAAACTCTCTGCAATGTATATTAAGTTTAATTGGGCCCAAGTCATGGGAGACAAAATCCCCAAAACAAAATTAGTATTTCCTTTTGAGTTTTAACATACAATGTCTATATATTGTATGTTAAATACAATATACTATAGAAATAATAATTTTCATAGAATTATTGTTAAAATATTTTTATAGTGTTGTAGCTTGAAACTCACATAACAACATTCTAAATTTTTGCTTATTTTGTACTTTATTCTTGAGTGACTTATTTCACTTAGCATTATGCCTTTGAGGGTAGGGGTCAGGGAACTGAGAAGACATGTTTTTTTAAACGTTTGTTTGTTATTCCTCACCCAAGGATATTCCTCCCCCACCCCCCCCCATTGATTTTTAGAAAGAGTGGAAGGGAAGGGGAGAGACAGAGAGAGAGAGACTGGGGAGGGGATCAAGGCTGCAACTGAGGTACAGTGCCCTTGACCGGAATTAAACCTGCAACCCCTCAGTCTGCGGGCCGACGCTCTAACTAGCGAGCCAAACTAGCTAGGGCAGATATGCTTTGAGTAAACTTGGAATACGTCTCTTTAAAATGTGTAAGATAGTATGAATACTAGGGCCTTGACTTTCCCCGTAAACTTCACCAAAGGAAGCCAGGTAAGAAATCCAAGGCCCAGGGATCAAGAATGAAAGGAGCATCAGTGCAGCATTCTCCTGAGTGGACTACCTTTGCTTCTACTTGCCCATTTCTGAGTCATTGTGCTGAGAAAGCAGCAGCTACAGGAATTTTATTTTTAATGTGTTGATTTATATCTAGCTCCCTTATAAAAAGGACATCTGAGAGAAAATAATTTTTAAAAGTTATTTCTTGTATTATTTTTGCTGGTTCAAACACCGTATCCTCTAAACTCAGAAGAACAAGTTGCAAACGCCAGGAGAGCCCTCACCTTATTTACAAGGGTATATAAGGCCTTGTCTTGTGCACCATATTTTAGACACTGCCTAATCCAGGTGTGGATAGTCCAGTCTCTCAGGTACCAGCAATTGGGGCTGTGCCGGAATCTAAAAAGAGCATAAGGAGAGAGAAAACAGGTGTTAACTCTTAAATGTCAATGCCAAAATACATCTTCCACCAGCAGATGCTTCTCTTAGGTATTTACAGATATGTAGTCAATAGGATCAAAGTCATAAAAGTCAACAGTCTACAAAAATTCGAGGCTAAAACTCACTAACCATAAAGTCTGAAATGGAAAAGAGAAGGCAAAAAATAAATAAATAACAAAAAGATTGTAAAAATTGTATTCCTTATTTAATAACCCCTAAATCAATATCTTGTTTTAATATGAGACTTATGAAAAATGACTTGGTAGAAATACTAACCATGGTGTTATGTGAATACATAGTTCATTAGAAGAGAGATGTGGAACTGAAGCTGACTCTTAGAAATTCACAATAAAACAGATGAAGCAAAAAAGAAAAATAGAAGAGCAGAGCAACTCTAGAGGGAATTAGCTTTGTGTCATATTGATATTTCTTGTGGCACTTAGGAGAGATTGGCATACTCATCAATAAATCAAAAGAAAAAAAAGAAGAAAAAATAATGAAAATTAACTTAACATTCAGGTCCCCCAGGTCTTCGGAACCCACAGTCCTGCTGCCTTCTTCACAGCTCTGCTCTAGCTCTTCAGTCTGCCTCCTCTTGCTTCCTACTGCTCCACACTTGGCTTTAAAAGGCAATCCACGCTAAGGCGTATGTAGTGACAGTGTTGCCACAAAGGCATTCCGAACACTACCCTTGCCTTGTGTTTGCACACATTGGTAACACTTTGGGTCAGAGCGCTTCTTGCTCTTGGCGGGTCCAGGCCACAAGCCTCAGAGCAGAGACAATATAAGGGGCTTTGCAGTCCTCTTTTTATCTATTTTGATTGGGATGGATCTTCAAATATCACATCATGTCAGCTAAAGTCCCCACTTTTTCTTTAACCTGATAGAAGCAGGTCAATCTCTGGGCTCTACAAAAATCAAAGTGTTTTCTTAAAAACAAAAAGGCAAGACAAAAACTTGGAGTGCAAGGATTTTGTGCCAGATTGAGAGTTGGGGCTACAGGCGTATCCCAGTGTTTTTCAGAGGCTGTTTATTCAATCTGCCACCTGCTCCTTCCTGCCATCTGCTACTGGGACAGTTTCATGCTAAACAAGTTCTCTGCCAAAGTAAAAGCCGAGAAAAAGGGAAAGTGAGAAGTAGTATTTAATTTAGACTATTTATTAGTGCTCCGATTAGAGAGATTAGGCAAAAATAAGATTTGAAGATGTTTTATGGATTTAGAGTCATCGAGCCCTCTCCAGTCTTTTGAATATCTTAGATTTGCCTACAAAATGTCTCTTTCTCTACAGAATTAAGCCCTTTAAAAGCATAAAGATAGAAACTGGTTAAATTGTGTTCAGGTTGAGAGTGATCTGGCCAAAGAAAGGCATCATATAGGTGCCAGAGATACTAGATCTAATGAGATCCTCTGCAGATAAGTGAAACAAAATATGTCTTTTATTATTTCACTAGAGGCCCGGTGCACGACATTCATGTATTGGGTGTCCTCTCAGCCCAGCCTGTGCCCTCTTGCAGTCTGGGGTCCCTAGGGGGATGCCCGACTGCTGGCTTAGGCCCGCGGTGGAGGCGAGAGAGGCTCCTGCCACCACCGCTACACTTGCCAGCCGTCAGCCCGGCTTCTGGCTGAGCGGCGCTCCCCCTGTGGGAGTGCACTGACCACCAGGGGGCAGCTCCTGTGTTGAGCATCTGTCCCCTGGTAATCAATGTGCTTCATAGCGACCAGTCATTCCACCATTTGGTCAATTTGCATATTAGCCTTTTATTATATAGGATGACTTTCCTCACATTGTAAAATCAATTGTTGAGCCACTTGAGCTCCTCTCCTGCTTCCTCTGAAAAATCTGAGATCTAAAGTATAATGGCCAATTAAAAGTTAATTTTACTTTTTAAACAAAAAAGTCATGACATAACAGGTGTATTCCCTAAATGATGGAGATGTTTCCTTGTTAGCCTGTAACCTCCCTGAGCAAGTAGGGGCAGCGACTGACTAGCTCAACCCTGGCTCCTCAGTGCCTGACACCATTCATGGCCCATGGCAGGTTTTCAGCAATAAAACAAGAGCTTTATTCAACACGTATTAAAGGCTATCATGTGCTGACCATTTTGTTAACATCTGTGGTATATATGAAGAACTGTAAACTACCTGTTTGGGGCATTTATAATCTCGTTCCAAAGCAAAGTATACAAAGCTGAACAATTACACCAGGTGGAACAGTAAGTGCTAAAAGGGCACTGCTAGTTGCCAGGAGGTGTTTTTGGTAGTAATGATGTTAGGATCAGTACATTTTTCCTTTTAAAAGCAAACAAAACAAAATAAAAAATGTCAATTACTTCCTTTACCCAAGATTATTTTAAACCTAATCCTCATTTACAATCTAATCTTCCACTTTAGGATGTCTCCAACAACCACTAAAGAGTTAGGACTTTAAAAAAAAATTAAATTAAATTATTTTTTTCCCCATCACCGTTTATCCCCTCTATGCCTTCTTCCACCTCCAAAGAACTTTTCTTTTTTTTTGATGGACTTTAAAATAAGAGCACCACAACCATATCCAGCAAAACACCCTTTTCTCTGATCAGCTGATCATTGTTAGGCTTTGAGCGAGAATGACAAAGATGATAAGACCTGGCTATACTAGTAAAAGCTTCAAAGCTCAAATCAAAACTGGTTTTAAGCCACTTTCTAACCTTGTGAGGCTAACTTCACACAGACAACAGAAAAGTCTTTTCTCTCACACTTTATTTCTTAGAAGCCTAAAGGAAAGTTACAAGACTTCCCACCTCCAATATAATCAACTGTGCACTGCAGCCCTTAGATTGATTTGTCAGCAGACTCAAAGGGGTCTTTAATAAGTTTACGCTTTCCCTCCTGGGACAGGGCTGCTCAGTACGATCTCTCCTCTATAAACCTAATATGTACTCCAGACACACAACCATGGCGAGAACATTCTCAACTAAATGACATTAAATAAATTCAGGAATAAGAGGAAAACATTTCCTCATATACCATGACATATGCTGCCCCAAGTGCAATTCCTGCCTTTCCCAGCCAAGCAGGAAATAAACTCCCTTCCAAGCCCACATCAATGATAAAAAAGAAATTAGCACACAACTTATTGGAGTAGCTATCTAGAAAATATACAACTCAAAATATTGACATGGTAAGGGCCCAGGTTTGGATAGTGAGTTTGGAAAGAATCGCTCTGTCAATGATTTTTGAAGCAGTTCAGACAGATAAACTTGGGCCTTTTCAGAATTGCCAGGGGTAATATGACAGGCAGGTAAGTCTCCAGAGTGGGTACTTGCCTGGAATGGGTCTGCAGGCTGCTGGACCAGCATTCTCCCTGTCAGCCAGGAGAAAGGCAAAGAGACAAGAACACAACTAACACATTGATTTTCCAATTTGCTTGCAAACAGACTGGCCTTTGTTCTCGCCTGCTCTGACCACTGGCCTGGCAGATTACAGGCAGCCACTGTAGGAGTCCCCTCCGTGCCCCACACCATCAGCTGTTTGCTCACCTCAACAGAAGCGTTATTATTGTCCAGGCCAGCAGGCTGCCAAGCTAGGCAAACTGTGAGTGTGCAAAGGATAAACAAATGCAACCCAAGTAACCCCAACAATGTTTGTGCTCATGACGGCAGAGACATTCTGAGCTTCCAATTTATAAAATATAAGTAAACTTACAACAATTTTAAAGACATGAGTATTTTTTGGAGGAAGGCGTGTTACAGAAAGGAGAGAATGAAGAAGTATGTTCTCAGGTTCTAGCTCTAGCTCTGAAAGCTGGTTACCAGGGCTGCAGGATCTCTGTCCACGGTGCTAAGGGGGGTGGCCAGGTGAAGACAGAACTTGCCTAGGAAGCCAAATCATGACTAGTGAATTAGCAGGAATTGAGAGGCTGTCTCTCCTCAAAAGTCAGGCTATGTTCAGGATTCCTCAGGGCATTTGCCTGCACTGCTGCTCATTCAAGACCAATGTCACCAGGAAGGAAGGAGAGCAGAATTACAGGCTGCAAAACTGACAAGGGGGCAAAAGTCTGATGCCTCGGAGATATCTCGGAAGGGAAGAGTGGTCACACAAAAGTCAAGAGGGAAAAGAAAAGCACCAGAGACTCACTATGATTACACAGATCGTAAAAGTCACATGGGATTTCCTACTTGTGACCAATTTCATAAAAAAAAAAAAGCAAAAAAAGCGGCTCAGTTGGTTGAGTGTTATCCTGTGCATTGAAGAGTTGCTGGTTCGATTCCTAGTCAGGGCACATGTTTGAGTTGAGGTTTGATCTCCCGTTGGGGCATGTGCTGAGGGCAACCGATGGATGTTTCTCTTTCACATCGATGCTTCTCTCTCTCTCGGTTTCTCTTCCTCTCTCTAAGCATGTCCTTGGGTGAGGATTTTAAAAAAAGGCAAGGGGGGAGAGACACAGCTTTTCTTCCACGGGATTCAAATAAAGGCTACTGTTGAAGGTGAGAGTGGCAATGCCCATCAGCCCTCTCAGAGTCACAGATGACAGTGCTCCCGGCTGAACAGGGCGGAGGCACAGACGCCAGAGCCTGGAGCTCATCTGCTCCACCGTTTAGCGGCAGCACTGGCTCTTCCATATGACTGAGCAAGCTTTCCACAGCGTTTATCTGATCATGAGAGCCATCACCCTGAACTTGAATTCTGTATCCGGTGGCAACAGGCTTTCCAGATGGAGACCACAGTCCCTGAGCCGGGCAGACATGGAGATGGGTGACTGGGTAAAGGGAAGAAAGAAAGAATGCCAAAAAGAACACGTAGCTGGCTCCAGAGCCTGTAATGTGGACTGGGAATCTCATTAATGAAGCAAAGTGTGTATAATAATTAGCAAAAGGTTTGAGTGCATTCGTGAACTAGAACCAAGGAAGGTGTCCTGTGATTATTTGACCAGAATTGGATCCAATCACTGCCACCCATTCTCTCATTATAAAAGGAT